TATGGGGCAGGAGGTGGTTGGGATTAGCTGAATTTGTTTGATCTCACCTCTCTTTTAAACTAATTCTAATGTCTATACACAGCCTATGCCAAGTCAGCAACAATCCTGAGCTAAATAAAGCATCTCCATTAGCTAACTTCCACATGCAGTTCTCTCTATGCCTCTCGCTAGGCTATCAGTGCACTGAAGCATGGACAGGGAAGGAAGAAAGGTCTATTGACAGAGTCAAGATCTCCTCTGGGACAGGGCTAAAAGTATCAGTTTAATTCAAAACCCACACAAATCTATTTGTAAGTAAATGCTGTTAGATGGCATCATAATGGATAGTGCATACCTTTAAATTGATTTCCTTTTGATGTGATAAAAACATCTTATGAAAGAGATGTTGAAGCATGGCTTTTGATGTAAAGTAACATAATTTAGATTTTAAAGTAGAAAACCTTTTGTTGATAGTAGTTTATTTGATTCAGTGCAATGTACCAAGTGTTAGTTGCTGTAAGTTATAAGTTGGCTTTGAACCGGCTGTAATTCATAAATCATTACTTATGACTGATTTATAGGAAATCTCATTAATTGCAATGGCACAGAGACCTTGAAACAGGCAGGAAGCAGAAAATAAAACTAAGGCCTGGGAAAGAGGAGTAATAATAATGTCACATTTGCCTGTGTTTTAATGACAGCGTATTCCTGATCACAGCAGTTATTCCTTAATACAATGTTGAATAAGAGATGCTGCTACTGCTTCTATTTTAAAGAAGAAGAGGGACCTGAGGACCCTATCACCTTATTTTTAACATGTAATAAATATTTATTGCATGTTGCTTATTACAAAGCAGTAACTTTCTTAAGGAAAGGCTTTTGAGTGGATTCAGTTGTGGCCCTTTCATGATGGGAAGAGTGAAGTATCGAGAGTTAAAATAACTTTCCCAATTTCATCTCAGTGAGGTTCATACAGATCTAGGAACACAGGGAGTCTCATATCACAGCCTTCTCTCTTGTCTATCGGGCCTAGGCTGTCTTTATTGTAACAGAGGAAAAGGTAGCAAGAGCCAAGTAAGGAATTACCGTCTTCCCTCCTGTACTATTTCCATTCAACCAGTTATTTCCATCTGTATTGTCAGAGACTAGGATTCTGAGGAAGGTCACGGCATGGGAGATGATTGAAAAAAAGGGAGGAGGAAAAAACTTGAGACTTCAACTAAAAAATATTAATTGGTTTTTGTATCAGGGACCTCACATGGGAAAAAAAAATAATTCCCAGTAACCCCAAGAGGTATGTGTTGGGGGTGAGGGTTGGGGGTGACATATGCAAAACTGTACTAAATCTCCCAAATGAGAACTTGCCTAGGGCCATCCTCACTGGAAATGTAAACAGTTTTCTACTGGAAATGGAAGCCCAAAATGATTTTTTTAAGGTCATGTTTTAATTTCCAATAAAAGAAAACTCAAATTTAATTCAAGACATAGAGCCCACCAACCACATTGTTGGCACAACATAAAGGGGTAGAACTATACACTGGGGTAGAACTATAAACCCATTGGCTGGGTTAATATGGTGCCTTGGCCCTGTTATTTCATGGTTGTTTGAAATGGGTGTTTTTTGATATTCACATGTGGAGAGGCTAGCAGGTTAGGAGATGAGTGCTGATGAGAAGAGAGCTCTTGCTTATAATTTTCAAGAAGAGAGAGCACACCATAGCATGCAGAGACCATGCTGGAAACCACCAAGGTCCATCAGGAGGTAGAAGAAATGAGGGGAAAATGTGGACAAGAATCTTCAATGTGGTTTTTAAGGCAAGGCAGGATAAGCAGATTATGATTGGGTAGGTTGGGTAATTTTGAAAGCCTCTGGGACAGAGGGGCTGCCCCTGTTTCCTGGTAGCTGGTCCTGAGGTGGTTAAGACAGTGAGATACTTGTCAAATACAAGGGTTCTCTGAAAACCCAATAAAGGAGGGGATCAGGATTTTGGCTCTGGGTTGGTTGGTTTGCATAGGAAAGTCATGCTTATAGACAAGTCCTTTCTTATTTCTAGAAATTGGGTAGGGATGATACAGCCCATTGTTCCATGCTCAGCAAAGTTCCAGATATCTAAACATTAGCAAGTGCAGAAAATTAAAAGACATGATTACTATATTAGAACATATCACTATATGTACAGAAAGAGCTGCAATAAGATATTAACCATTCTACACATTTGCAACCTCGTTTTATTTAGAGCCGGACACAGTGTTGGCAGTAGACTTAAGAGGAAACCATCAGATGTGGCCTGTCTTTACGTGGTTCACATAATCACAGCATAAGATAGTGTGAAAAGTCAATCTAGACTGCAGCAGCCCTGAAAAAGGAAGCAAAGTGGGTGGTCAGTTATAAAAGGCCAGGGAAAGAAATAGGAACTCAGAACCTATTAGTCAAGTTTCTTTGCTGCAATAGGGAAGGAGACCAAAATAAGCATTTGAAGCCAGAAAACAATCTTGAACTTTAAATATCACCTTCTATGATCAAGGTCCCAGTTGGGTGTGATAATACATGCCTGCAACCTCAGCTACTCAAGGGTAAGGCAGAAGGATTCCAAGTTTGAGATCAGCCTCAGCAACTTAGTGAGGCCTTAAGCAACTTAGAAAGACGCTGTCTTAAAATCAAAAATAAAAGTATAAAGGGCTATGGATGAGGCTCAGTGGTAAAGCTCTTCTGGGTTTAATCCCTAGTACCAAAAAAAGCAACACAAACACAACAAAATAAAAACCAAATAAATAACAAAACAAACAAACAACAACAAAAAAGGAAAACAAAACAAAAGAGAAACCAAGGTCCCTTTGAGGAGTTTTGTGAATATATGCTTAAGGATTGCTAAGGACAGCTGCTTTTCCTGTGGAGGACATCTCCTATTATTGGAAAGAGCCACTTCTGCATCTTGTGTAAGTTATGGAAATGTAGCTATTCACAACTGTTCATTTACATTGTGAATCTCACCAGAAGAGAAAGATTAGGTCCTAATGAGGAGATAGGCCTTTTTCCTAAAGCCTTCCATGTCCAGGGGAGGACATGGAAGGGATGACCATGGAATAGGACTTTCTCTATCCTTGGCTTCTTTCCAAGGCTTACTTTAAACAACTGGGAGATCTTCCTAGTAATTCTTGCTGTTAGTTCCTTCCAAAGAGCTACTCTCTCCCATCTTAATCCAACATTATTATTCTTCAGAACAAAGTTGAGAGCTGCCTTCTTTTCTAGAAACAGATGGCTGCAGGATGAAATGGGGACTCTTAAGTTTGATGGGACCAGCTCTCAACATCTAGACCCAATCTCATCTCTATTTCCTTTATCACTCTCTTTTCCAATTCTTCTGTTCTATCGAGGACATGTTTCTTATTCCCTGTATATGCTAGCATTTGTTGTGCGTCTCTGTCTTGACTCAGGTTGATTTTTCTGATTAAAATACCCATCTTTACTTTCTTCCCAACCTCCACAAAACCAAGAGCAGCTGAATTTCCTCTTTAAAACACACCAATTTCTCAGTTTGGGTTAATTTACTCTGA